TTTCTGCTCTGAGGAAAGACTGACAGTGAGCTCAGCCCCTGCGCTGCAGCCGTGCCAGTGGAAAGCTTTGCTCCCACTTCTGCATTTCGTGCGGGTTGCGGCTAAACAGTAACGTGTGGTCAGAGGGGGCTGGCGGGGCATGTGTGACGGGCGAGTCACGAGTGGCCCAGCACCACGGGCCCTCTTCCAAGTGGCAGGGCCAGACGTTGGCCAGAAGTAAGGAAGCATTCCCAGCAGGTCCTTTTCTTCCCCTTCATAAAGCTGCCCGCCACCCGCAGCTGTCTTGGCCTGGAGCTGAGCGCAGCTCCCTCAGCAGGTGGCTGGATCCGTGCCCTGAGCCCTTCCAGGGAGAAATCCCCACGTGTGACCATGAGCCCAGTCTGGGCTTTTAACTGCCAGGCTGGGGGCACCGCTCTGGCTCTGCCTCAGCGCCTGCTGGCAAGGCTTGGGCACCTTCCTAAGGGGACGATGTGTCCCTTAGAGAGTGGAAAGCCAAAGAGATCGTGTGCCTCCCTGGGGCTGTTTCACCCATGCCTACCTTTGGGGAAGGAGTCAGTGGAAAGAAAGAGGGAAGAAAGCCAGAGGGCAGCTTGCTGGGGCAGGCTGTGCTGCCTGAAACCTGCCCAGGAGAAGGGAGAAGCATGTCCGGGCAGGTGCTCCTGGCCCCTGTCTGGGGTGGGGGGGAGACAGCAAGTGCCGGGCTGTGTCCCAGTCTGCACCGCAGTCCCAGCGGTGGGGCAGGGGCAGGGACAGCCAGACGTGGGGGGCCCGAGCATCACCCTCCCCGCTTTGTCCGGCCCCGCTGCCGTGGGTCTCCCCGGCCGGGACACAGAGCTCTCGGGTCTGCCGCATGGCTCCTCGATCTGCTTCGCTCTGGAGCACCGGCACAGAGAGACGGGGAGCGCGGCGCGTGGAAACACTCCGGAGAGAAGCCAGAAATGGCTTCTTCTTCATCCTCATCATCATCACGAGCGGCAGTGGCTCCCACGCCGGCCCCTGGCCAGGCAGCGCGGCTG